TACAACCATGAAATGATGACCACTACAAATGTAACTATGAAAGAAGAAGAAGAAAATTAAATTGCAACTTTTGCAACTCAGCTTGCGTAGTGAACAGATGTGTTTTTAACAGCTTTCATAAATCTTTCTAAATTTGCAAACACAAAGAAATATAAATATAAACTTACATTTTTTTTTTTTTTTCTTTTTTTGTATAAGTATAGATATTTTGTTTAAATAAAAAAAACAATTGCTGAGAGACTGAATAATTTTTTTATAAATGTTGGGAAAAATTTAGCCAAAGAAATCTCTTCAAGTAGCAAAACATTCCAGTCTTTTTTGAAAAAATCAGATTTTATTATGGACAATTCGGAACTTTCCATTGATGAACTTCGTTCAGCTTTTGACATGCTTCAGACAAATAAAAGTGCAGGTCTTGATGAAATTAATGCAAATGTTTTGAAAAGTGTTTTTGACATTATCGAGTGGCCTCTTTTCATTATTTTTAAACTTTCATTAAAAAACGGGGACTTTCCTGACCAATTAAAACTTGCTAAAATAGTTCTAATATATAAAAACGGCGACGATTCTTTAGAATCAAACTACAGACCCGTCTCAATTCTCTCCTGTTTTTCAAAGGTTCTTGAACGTATTATGTATAATAGAATATATAACTTCATTGATAAAAACAATATTTTATATCCTAAACAGTTTGGATTTCGGAGAAATCATTGCACTGAGCATGCTGTGATGGATTTGGCTAGCAATATTTTGAAAGGATTTGATGACAATAATTATACACTTGGAGTTTTTGTTGATTTATCGAAAGCGTTCGACACTGTCGATCACGAATTCCTTCTCTATAAATTAAAAAATTATGGAATTCAAAATACTTATCTAAAATGGATCGAGTCTTATCTACAAAATCGTAAACAATATGTGACGTATGATTTAACTTGTACGCAATTAGAAGTTATTAGTTGCGGTGTCCCTCAGGGCTCAATACTTGGTCCTCTGCTGTTTCTCTTATATATCAATGACATCCACTTATCTTCTAAATTCCTTAATTTTGTTTTTTTTGCTGATGGTACTAATATTTTTTTTTCGGGGTCTAATTTAAAATTTGTTCTTTCTACTGTAAACACAGAGCTAATTAATCTCAATGAATGGTTTAAAGCCAATAAACTGTCCGTAAACATTGATAAAACTAAATACATTCTGTTCACGAAACCTTCGAAAACTGATAACATACCCCTAAAACTTCCTGATTTATTTATAAACAACATTAAAGTAAAAAAAGTTCATTCAATGAAAATCCTAGGTATAATATTTGATGATCATTTAAACTGGAAAAATCAAATCCAATTAGTGGAAAACAGCATTTCAAAAGCACTTGGGATCCTTTTCAAAACGAAGCACCTTTTGAATATAATGTGCTTAAAAAGCTTGTATTTTTCATTTATTCATAATCACATTAGTTATTGCAATATAGTGCGGGCAAGTAATTATTCATCTTCTTTAAAAAAAATTAATACCAAACAAAAGCAAGCGAGCCGGTTAATTTTAATTGCAGGTAGATATGCATGCGCCGAGCCTTTACTTAAAAAAATTAATGTTTAAAATATTTATAAACTAAACATCTATCAAAATCTGTTATTTATGTTTAAAATTCATAACAACATGCTTCCAACATATTTTCAACCGCATTTTACCTTAATTAATCATAAAATACTCTACAAGACATTCCATTGGCAACTTTCTCATCCCTACAACATCCCTTAGAAAAACAGACTTCTCAATTACATGTCGAGGACCACGTTTTGAAAAAGATACCAAAAAACTATGATTGGTATTAAAACAATTTATCGATTAATAGTTTTAATACCATTTTAGGTAAAAAGTGTTGTTTTTTTTTTTATTTGTTGTTGCTGTTGTTTTTTTTTCTAATGACTTTTACTTATTTTAAGGTGAGTTTCCACTCATCCGTTTTTTTACGGGAACGGGATAGGAAAGGGAAAAATAATCACGTGAGCATGCGTAGTTTTACTTTGGACAAATTAAAACTTATAATACGCATGCCCACGTGATTATTTTTCCCTTCCCCTTCCCGTTCCCGTCAAAAAACGGATGAGTGGAAACTCACCTTTATAAAACAATTTAGCAACGTCACAGTTTATAATAACGTCACAGTTTATAAAAACGTCAAATTTTTTAATAGTTAAAGAAGAAAACAATCTATAATTATGTTCCTGTTCATTTTATCTGAGTCAATTGCTATATTTCTTTTAAAAGATGTAAAAGCTATGTAAAACGTTTCCGGACATAATTCAAATATTAAATTCATTGCTAATCTATAATTCATTGTTAAAACAGAGATTTATTATTAGTATTAGAAGATGCATCGGTAATTTTTATTTAAAAAGCCTGGTTCCGATATCTAAAGGAATTTAATAAATTCTATCATTTATAAAATTCCATCACAAATTTGCAGGTTTGCAAAAAAATTTTGTTTTTAAATTTGAGGTCGACTTATAACCAAAAAACTTTTTTCTTCTTCTTAAAAGTTTATTTAGACAATAAAATAAAAACTTCTATTATGAATGTAACACTATTTTTTTTGAATTAATTTTTATACAATATTTCAAGCGGGTGTCAGAGACGTATTTACGGAGGGGCCAGGGGGGGCTTTGGCCCCCGAGCGCCATGGTTTGACAGGGCGCCAGCTTTCAGAATGTTAGAATTTTAGAAAATTGTAAAATAGTCTATTTATATCATTTCACGAAAATTTTTATATTATTATTATGTTCAAATCATAGACCTACTTATCGACTTACTAAATATCTCTAGTTGATTTTAGAAAAATTTAGTTAGCAGAAGAAAATATCAATCAAAAGGAGATCAAATTAAACTTGCAAATTATACATAATTATGCGCCAATTATTCATCTAAAAACGTTGATTTGATACTGAAAGTCACGTGTCTAAACAAATTATTTATTTATTATAAATATTTTAATGATACGGTATGTAGCGATAGCTTAACGGTTAAGCTCATCACTCTGACGCTGGCGCTCCGAGGTCTACTCCTACGAGTGTTCTTATTTAATATACTATCTAATCTTGATATAAATAAAATTTATATTTTTTTTTGAATAAATGATTTATAATTTTTATTAATCAAATACTTGATCCTTATTTATTAATTAGTAAATAATATACTAGAAAAAAATAAATGGTGCGTTTTACCTAACATTTTCATTTTACTCTTAATTGACTTTATTAACAGAAATACTTAGGTACAGACACAGCTATTTACTTTTAAAAAATGAAATAATTCTTCAAAGATTCTCTTTACATTTTCTAAAAAAAAAAAACTCTTTAAAAATACTTTAAACTTTAAATAATCAGTTTGTTTTTTAATTTATTTTTATATAATTTGAAGTGATGAGCAGAATAAATTACGCATTAATTATATTAAATTAGCAATTTGACTTTGATCGCCTATTTTGCTAACCATCTTGTATATACCACGTGTGCACAATATAATTTTGAATTTTTAAGATTGCTGTCAGTTTTTTTTATTGTTGGCCTAAGTATTTTGTTCTTCGGTATGTTGTCTGCTTAATCCCTTGTATTATAGTATACAGTCTTGAAAAAGGTAAATATTCGTATTTCGATTATTGTTTTTAGTTTTAGTATTAACATTATTGTTATCATATATATATGATAACAATATATATATAATACACACTTTTTAGGATTCTTATTTTAAAAAGCAATGATGATTCATAGTAAAAAGCTTAGTGGCGCAGAAAACCGAAAACGAACCCATGCAAAAAATGAAGCTCAAGCAAAAATACTTTTAAAGACTGCTAAGTTAGAAACATATTTTAGCTTTACAGATAAACAGCTTCACACATCGCATACGTTTTATTAATTTTGCTTTCTAGCAAATATATATACATATAGGTACATATTGTTCTGTTATTTATTGTTTATACTTCATATTGTTATGTTATTTATTATTAAATGTAAATAATTTATATCTAAAATGTAGATATGTGTAGTAATCGTTATTTATGCTTTCAGTTGAAAATGTAAATAATACAAGCGATGAAAATGATCACAGCTTTATTGCTAATGAGAATAACCTATCAAATCCAGACGATTTAATATTAATATTATCAAGTAAGAGCTGTACTGAAACTAGTAAAACTCTATTGACTCCAGAATCCAAAGAACTAAATGAAACACCCTGTTTGTCCATGCATGAACATAACAAGCCCGAATGTTTATTGTAAAATCTTTATTTAAAATTTGATATAATTTATAAATAATATCTTTTGTTACATGCATGTTATACAAAATTTATTATATTTTTCTCTATAGAAACCAAAATGATCACAGATTCACTGTTAATAAAGATAATCTAACAAATCCAGACAATCTTATATTACTAAATAACAGCAGCACAGAAACGAGTAAAACTCTATTGTCTACAGAATCGGAAGAAATAAATGATACACCACGTTTGCCAATGGTTGGACATAACAGTCTTCCTAAACAAAGTATTGTTCCTGAGTAAGCTTTTTTTAATTTTTTTCATGGTAGGTTACAATTATAAACATGTACAAAGGTAGACTATTTTTTTAAGTCGCTTGTCATGTAAAATTATGCTGGAAATTAAATTATTAACAAATATAGTACACTCTGTACATTTTAAACGATACCTATATCCTCTAGTTATATTATATTATGCATTTATCTCTATTACCTAATGCTTGAATGTTTTTTTTATACAATTTGTTATAAACTTTGAATAATATTTTTTGGTTTTTGTATATTAAACAAATATATTTTCCCTTTAGAAATGATCCTGCCAATTGGATAAAAAATCAAGAAACGATAGATTATTTATCAATCAATGGATTTAAACAAAATTTAGAGAACAATAATTTCCAAAAGTCAAAAAGAATTTACACTCAAATAATTGGTGGGGTAAGACGTACTCGTTTTCGATATATGTCAAAAAGTATATTTATATCTACTCTTGTTAATGGTGAAAAAATTAACCGAACATTTTTGATTTACTCAGAAAGTAAAGGATCAATATTTTATGCTCCCTGCTATTTATTTGGTGGCACTACATCGTTTGCCACAGTTGGTTTTTCAGATTGGAAAAAAGGAGAAGAAAAAATCAAGCGTCATGAAAATTCACAACACCACAAATTGTGTGTAATGAATATGAAAGAAAGAAAAGAAGTATTAAATCGAGTTGATCAAAAGCTAAAGTATCAAGTAGAAACAGAAATAAATTATTGGAAAAATGTATTGACAAGAGTTGTAGCTGTTGTGAAATCCCTTTCTTCTCGTGGAATGTCTTTTAGAGGTGATGATGACCGTTTTAGATCTGTTCATAATGGGAACTTTATGATGAGCTTAGAGCTTATTGCTCAGTTTGATCCTTTTTTAGCACAACACATTGAGAAGTTTGGAAATTAAGGAAAAGGTTCAACATCATACCTATCATTTAATATATATGAGCAGTTCATAAGTATAATGGCAGATAATGTTATTCAACAAATGGTGAAAGAAATAAAGGAAGCTAAATACTTTTCCATCAGTATTGATTCTACTCCTGACATTAGCCATGTAGATCAACTGTCATTCATTTTTCGGTATGTTCAAAAGAATGGCTGTCCGGTAGAAAGATTTTTAGGGTTTTTACCTAATTCTGGTCATAAATCTGAAGAATTAGCAGATGCTGTATTTTTAGTTTTAGAATCGCATGGATTAGATATTAATAATTGTCGTGGTCAAAGTTACGACTATGCGTCTAATATGTCTGGTAGATACACAGGACTTCAAGCTCGCATTAAAAAAGTTAATCCTTTAGCAACATTTGTACCATGCTCGGCACACTCTTTAAATCTTGTTGGTGAGTGCGCTGTGGACTGTTGTATTTATGCTTCTGAATTTTTTATTCTGCTTCAAAATATTTATAAATTTTTCAGTGCCTCTACTTATAGATGGGAAATACTTCAGAAGAATTTGATTAAAACAGAAAATGTATCTCTTAAAAAACTATCAGATACCAGATGGTCAGCAAGATCTGATGCAAGTATTAGTTTAAACAAAAATTGGATTGAAATAATTAATGCACTGTCTTTTATCAAAGATGATAAAACAGAAAAATCTATTACAAGATCAGAAGCTAACGGGCTATACTTAAAACTGGATAGTCTTGAAACAGCTATAATGGCCACATTATGGGGCGATATACTAGAGAGATTCAACAAAACTAGCAAACAATTGCAGTCAGTTGAGATTGATTTAGAAACAGTTGTAAGTTTATACGAATCTTTAATTCGATATGTATTAGATTTAAGGAGTATGTTTGATGTCTATGAAGAGAGAGCAATAAATAAGTCAGGACACAAAACATATCGAAAAATACGCAAAAGAAAAAGAAAACTAACTGCAGATGAAAAAAGAGAAGAAGAAACAAATTTTAAAATTCGAGACTCTTTAAGAATTAATACATATTATGCTATAATTGATAAACTTCATTCTGAACTAGAAAGAAGAAAATTGTGCTATGATGAAGCCAATAAAAAATTTAACTTTTTATTTCAAATAATAAAACTTTCGCCATCAGAAGTTTACAAAAAAGCAGAGGTACTTCAAAATGTATATAAAAATGATCTTTCGTCTTCATTTGCTAACGAGTGTATACAATTCAGAAGTTATTTAATGAGTTTAACTGAAAACTTAAGACCTAAAACTATAATAGATGTTTATAAAATGATCAGAACTGAAAAACTTCAAGAGCTGTTTCCTTATGTAGATATAGCATTAAGAATATATCTATGCTGCCCAACGTCCAATTGTTCAGCCGAGAGATCATTTTCAGCATTAAAGAGGGTTAAATCTTATTTGAGGTCGCGAATGACAAGTGATCGTCTTAATAGGTTAGCAATTCTATCTATAGAATCTGTACTTACCATAGATATGAACTTTAATGACATTATAAATACATTTGCAAAACAAAACTCACAAAGAAAATTATAATTTTCTATAGTGATTAATATAACTTAATATATGTTGGTATAGAATATGAATTGCTAACTTGAAAAAAGGGACATGTCCTGAAAAAATTCACATAATATGTCCCCTTTTTCAAGTTAGCGATTCATATATAAAACCGTTAAAAGCAAAATAAAAATAAAAACTAATCAATACATTAGTTTTTTTTGATTCAAATATCAAAACAAAGGTTTCCAAAAGAAAGCCGTGATGTAGCATCCTGACTCAGACCGCCGTCTTAAGGTGCACATTCATGGCGTTGTATTTCATGTGCCTCCCCCACTTTTCTGTTAAAATTGTTGACTTCTGCTTTTAAATTATTTTTATTGTTCCATGTAAAATAAAGTAGATAAGATTGTTACCATGGTCATTTTGATATTAGCTATTATTTTATATGAACAGATTTTAACTGATGCTTTTCTGTTTAAATCTTTCGATGTTTTCTTAGTTTAATTGTTTAGGGAGTTATTGTTACTAAAATTTAAAAAACTTTCTAACCATTTGCAATAAGGTTATTTTTATCACTTGTTCCTTAAAGCTTAAACTATGAAATGACTTTATAAACTTATCCATGTTGTTAAGAAAAATATGCTATTATTAAAAAATATTATCTTTTTAATTTTATCTCTAATTTTTTTTTAATTTTTAACAGTTATTTCATATGAAAACAGACTGAGTGCAATTTATTTTTAGTTTTTATCTTATTTAAATTTTATGATGTTTTGATTTAGGAATAAAAAGGTTATTTTTTGTAAATAACATAACTCCCTGATTTTTTAATAGTCTGAGAAAATTTTACATTTAACCTTTCTTTAATAGACGAGGGTATAATATTAAAAAATTGGAGGTTCTGAGTATTTATATTATAAGAGATAGTTTTCATTAGTGGTCAATATTTTGCTTAACCTGTATACGTCTACATTAAAAACAAATTAAGATTAAACGATTAAATTCAAAAAACGATTCAGTTTATATTTTTAAAGTTCACTATAGAAAGCGTCTGTATGCAAAAGTTTTACCAATTAACTAAGTTGTCTGTTATTCCAGTTAGATTATTAGCGTAATCACCTTTCTTTTAAATTTCGTGTTATTCTAGTTAGACATATCACCAGCTGAGTCGCCCCTCATAAATTTTGTGTTACCCAAATTAGTTAGTTTAAAATTTCATTACTTTATTGTCATCTGATAATATGAATACGCTACTTTATTGTCATCGTTATAAGTCTGCATAATGAGCGTAAACTTCGAGTTGAAATACTTTTAGTATGAGTGTAAAATTTGAGTTGAAATACTTTTAGTATGAATGTAAACTTCGAGTTGAAATACTTTTAGTATGAGTGTAAACTTCGAGTTGAAATACTTTTAGTATGAGTGTAAACTTCGAGTTGAAATACTTTTAGTATGAGTGTAAACTTCGAGTTGAAATACTTTTAGTATGAGTGTAAACTTCGAGTTGAAATACTTTTAGTATGAGTGTAAACTTCGAGTTGAAATACTTTTAGTATGAGTGTAAACTTCGAGTTGAAATACTTTTCTTTGATCTTCTGATGTAAAATTGCAGAGCAACTGCATAGTAAATAGTAAATTTTTATAAAGTTACGAAACGACTTTTTCTAACTTCAATTTATTTCAAACACACTCATTGAAAATTCAACGAAAAAAACTCCTTCATTTTGTCTTTTTTATTTATTTTTTTACTTTCTTCTACTTATTCTCTTTTATCTTAACGTTTCAAAGCAACAATGTATAAAGTATCAATATGCATCGCAATTCAAAAGAATTAATTTAACTTTAACTAATATAACTTGTGTTTAAAATTAAATTAATTCTTTTGAATTTCTTAAAATATGGTTTCTATGGTTATAAGTTTCTAAACCATAGAAACTAATTGACCGTTTTTTGATCATTACGTTTTTTTAGTTTTATAATAATCTAGAAGGCACCAAGTTACTCAATCTTAAAATTATTCAGTACGAGACTCGTTGATCCAAATATAAGAAGTAAACTTTTAGAAAAATTATTCGAAAGCGGATCTTTCGAATTATTTTTAATATATATATATACATATATATATATATATATATATATATATATATATATATATATATATATATATATATATATATATATATATATATATATATATATATATATATATATATATATATATATATAATATATATATATATATATATATATATATATATATCTTTATAATCTATAATAATATAATATATTAAATCTTGTATCTAATAAGTCTTGTTAAAAAATATATATATATATATATATATATATATATATATATATGTTAAAATATATATATATATATATATATATATATATATATATATATATATATTATATATATATATATATATATATATACATATATATATATATATATATATATATATGTATATATATATATATATATATATATATATATATATATATATATATATATATATATATATATATATATATATATATATATATATCCTTATAATCTATAATAATATAATATATTAAATCTTGTATCTAATAAGTCTTGTTAAAAAAAATTTATAACTGCTTATCTACGATTTTTGATTTTTACCTCTCAGTATGTATTAACGCGTTCATAATTTAGTTTTGGTAATTATTTATTACAAAATAGTAATATATAAATGTTAAGTTATATTTGTATAAAAGATTGTTCTAAAATTTGGTGAATAGATTTCACCAACAAAAGAAAGTCCTTTTTATGTTAGCAATTTACATTAGCACTTCACTTACATACTTTAGCGATTGACATTAGTTTTCATTCCTGTTTTTAAATCTACTAGACGGAAAAAAATTTAATATTTATTAAAACTTATTTCACAGCCAAATTAAAAATCCGAATTAGCATTCAGATCTCACACTATGCCATATAGATTCAAGAATTAATAAATTTTGTTTAAAACATAAATAGCGCTTCACTTCACCACATTAAAAGAAACATATTTTTAGGCACAGCTAAAATTAAAATGGACTACATCTTAAAAAAAATACGTTTAAATTATTTAAAAATAAATAACAAAAAATAAAATATTAAATATAAAAAAAGATATGAATAAAATAAAAATAAATCACAAGTTATCAAGTTTATGAGTAGTTACAGAACTGTTTTTTGAATAAGTTTGAATAAACTTGTGGTTATATCTTAAACAAAATAACACATATATCTTATATAAAAACACAATTCTGAAACTGTTTTAAATTATCAATGTGCACTAAAAATCTTTTATACAAATAAACTCCTATATTCATGCACTAGAAATCTTTCATTTTCATCGTGAACTAAAATCTTTTCAGACAGTCAATCAAATAAAATCTTAATTTCAAATGTTCTGTAAGCCAGCGTTATGCGAAGTAACTCATATACAGGGTCATGC